CTTAATAGCATAGAAAATTCCTTGGAAATCAACAAAGGTTGGATTTCGCCCGCTTCCGCCTATATTTTCTCAAACTATACTGATCTGAATGGAATTCAATTCTAGTAAACAGCATTTTGCGCCCCAAGCCAAAACAATGAACTTAATAAGCGACCTCAAGTTTTTGTTTAATCCCCCAATCCTCAACTTTTCATCAGATATGTCACCTACTGTAGTTTACTGAAGTTCACTTATGTTAAAAAGTGTCCTTTGAGAATCGCCATTTGGGTAGCAGAAGCTTTTCACATTTTAGCGGCCGTAAGACTCTGGTAGTCTTATACCTATAAGTATGAGAATCAAATAAGCAGGCTGCCAGCACTTTGTTTCTGTCTTACCATAACCATCCCATGCCACTCCCCACTCTCCCTCCCCTTGTTCATGTAGGCGAACTGCTAATTAAATCCACTATCTTTCCAGGTGCTCTGCGATCCCCGTTGCCACCGCCTTCGGTTCCGGAGGAGTCGCGCAGCAAAGCTCCTCCGTTCCTCGCTTCGTCGGTTCAAAACGCCGGTTTGAAGTTAACCATCCACTCAGTCTACGATTCTACACACGCAAACAGCAAGGAGCGCCTGGCAACCAACAAATCCGACGCCCCTCATCCGCTTCCTTCTCCCATCAACCAGGTTAGCTGATTTGCATGGCTCCTCACCTTCTCCGATGGCATCTTTAAGTCTGTCTGATTTGAAACTCACTTAATCAGGGGTTTTATGCGGGCTCTGTATGTAGGACACACATTCCTGTAACGACCCCCGCCTGGTATTTGCAATTAGCAAGAACTCTGAGCCAGCTCGACTGTTGTCCCGAATGCCAGCACGAGAGACCAAGAGAAGTAAATTGGCCAGGAGGAGAAGTGTATTCACACCGAGCAAGTCACTCTTACAAAAAGACTGCGGAGTACGTATTCAGCCAGCTCCATGAGCAGGCGTCAGCGACAGGGGACCAATCAACTATGGTGACAAATCGATAGCCACGGCGCGCGCTCTCATGACAGCGGCGTGGAGTTGCACTC